TATGGGCCAAGGTCTCAAGTATACAAAGACTCTTATCAGGAGGGATATTCCAAGGGCTAAGAGGGTATCTCCCAGGAGACGGGCAAGGTCTAGTCTTTGCTCACGTGTGCAGGGTTTGAACAACTCAAGCCTGCTGCATTACACTTTACTGCACTCGTATCCAGCTGCCTACTTAAAAGGACTCTTGAAAGCAATCACCACCTAATCCTTCAGCAGAGCACCCAAACCTGCTCTGTCCATCATCTTCCTGACCTCAGTTCATGGCAACTTCATCCTTCTAGCGGCTCAGGCCACAGACCTCGGAGTCATCCTCAATCACTCTCCTCCCACATCCCAAATCCAATTCTTTGGCCAATCTTGTTGATTATGCCTTCAGAGTATTTCCAGTTTCTTTCTGCCTCCCTCTACCTCCACCACTTCCACCCTTGTTCAAACTCCCCCCACGCTCTCTGTATGAGTCCGATAACCTCCAGACCAGGCTCTTTGTCTTTACCTGTGGCTCCTACAATCTCCATCAGGCAGCTAGATGACCCTTTAAAATCAGAAATCGAATCATGTCATTTCTCTGCTCAAAACCCTTTATTGACTTTCAATCCCGCTCAGAGTGAAAACCAGAGTCCTCAGAGCCCAAGTATCTCTCGGCCCTCATTTTGATTTGCCATCTTCTCCCTCCCTCACTCTGCTCCACCTGCACCTGCTTCCCAGCTCAACCGCACAAGACATATCCCTGCTTTGGACCTGTATTTGCTATTCTGTCAGTCCCAAACACTCTTCCTTCCCATTTGCTTCAAGTCCCTGATCAGTGAAACCCTCCTTTATTTATCAACATAAAATAGCAACATCCTCAAGTCTCCTCTCCCCACTTTTCTCCATGGCACTTTCACATGTCACACCACACGTCTGTTTATGAGCTCACTGTCACCCCCTCACAGCCCCATCCTCTGCCCTACTAGACTATAAGCTCTACAAGAACAGAAACTTTATTTTGAAAATATCTCCTGCAATCCCTATATGGTTAGCTGGATGAATGTGTAGGCAAAGGACATTATCGAGAGGCACTGACACCTAGTGTTCACTCTTGGATCATTTTGATTCCACAAAAGCATGATGACTCAGAAACTGATAGCATTTTCTAAGTAAGCAATGTAATTTCTCCATGTGGCCAAATGATTCCCATTTTCAGAATAAAAGAGAAAAGAATCATTTAGGGCAGATTCTGCAATCTGTAGGTAAGCTCTGTGAGGGCAGGGATTATGTCTGGCACCTGTTTGGTGCTCATGAATATTTATTTGTTGATTGACCAAAGAATATTTCCACCTATTCCTCAGATTGCAACGTGGCAGCATAGAGAGAACTTAAATAACAATCTGTCCATTTGATGTTGGGGCCAAGTGAGATTTGTGGAGGATAAGTGACATACTAAGGTTCTCACCATAAACTAGAATTAGGTTTCCAAGTCCCATCCCAGGGTTCTCTTTCTATCCAATGAGCTGCCTGTGTCAGCTTCATAGACCTAAGGAAACCTCTACAATTAAAATTAGAGAACAAATAATTGAGAGGGAAAAGGGTGTTGGGATCACACTGTTTGCATCTCATTCTGTAGCAGGAACTGGGTTTTAAAACAAGTCAAACATGAGCTCACATCCCTGTACTGCTATTAACCAGTTGAGAGAGTTTGGTCAAATTGCTTAACTTCTGGTCCTCAGTGAACATGTTGAATGTGAAGATTCCCTAAATGGGGCTGTGATGAGGCTTCCATAGTGGGGTTGCGAAACTGCAACTCACCCTATAACTCAGAAGTGAGAAAAAGGTAATTCTTTCATCTTGGCAGTAACTGAGTTGGTCTTCCTCAATGAGCCCTTCACCAGTTGGTTAGCAATAAACATTTAACTCAAGGTTCCATTTTGTCTAGTCTAAATGGGTGCAGATCCTCAGCATGGGATGGTGAAAAAATTCTGGATATGGATAGTGGTGATGGTCGCACAATACTGGGAATGCTCTTAATACCACTGACCTGCACACCTAGAAATGTACAGACTTCCACTTATGAGCTCAGTAAGTACTGGGGATGTAATATACAGCATGGTGACTCGAGCTAACACTGCTGTATGGTATATTTGAAAGTAGCTGAGAGAGCAGATCCTAAGAGTTCTTATCATAAAGAAACTTTTTTCTCTTTTGTATCTCTATGAGATGACGGATGTTGACTAAACTTGCAGTGGTGATCATTTCACCCTACAGGTAACTCAAGTCATTATGCTGTCTGTATACCTTCAACCTACACAGTGCTGTAGGTCACACACCACTCAATAAAACTGGAAAAAACGGTAAAACTTTATGCATACTACAATAAAAAGTTAAACAACCCCCCCCACCCACACACACACACATTTAGACTGATCTGATCATTTAGATGGTTGGCTCTCGTCATTCTTAGTCACTTCTGGAGAAATGGTGAACCTCTCAGATTTCCCAGGCTTGGCTTCCCTTTTCCTCGCTAATCTGTGTTTGGATGTACGGGGCCAGGGGTAGGGGTGGGGTGTGCCGTGGGAGGTGGTGGCTTCTGTGATCCCGCAGCGGAGGGAAAAAGAGTGGGGTCCCCAGGGTGATTTCCTTAGACTCCTTCGCTCCCTTTGAGCTCCTCCTGCCTCTTCTCTCCACCCTTTGCCTCCTGGCTCCCGCTGAGGAAACACCAGATCTTGAAACACATCAAAAATTTCCTTGTAACGATGGTTGGGAAGCGGTGCTGGGGTTTCAGCCGCATGGAGAGGAACCGTGAGTCACCCGCGGCTCCTCCACCCCGGCCCCCAGGTCCGGCCTCTCCTCGTCCCCGTCCGCGGCGTGGCTTGAGCCCCGTCACCTCCGCCCTCATCCCGTGGGTGTCCTCTTACCACACCCAAGACCCTCCCACTCCGTGGTCTCTGACTGACCCAGCGGACCAGAAGCTTCTCAAGGAGAGCCAGGTACTGCCAGCGTCTGGGACCGTTCCTGGCTAAGAAGTAGTTTTCAAAGAACATCTCCATCACCGCAGCCCCCCGCCGTTCCCTTTCTGCAAGCCCTTTCTAAAGTACCCACGAGGCGTCACAGGGGAGGGAGGGGACAAGGCCCCTACCTTTACGTCGCAAAGACAGCACAGAAGCAATGCCTCAAATGTCATGAAAAGAAATACACAGTTCTTCCCAACAGGCCATTTTGTTAAGTCCTAGAACAATCATGAGATTAGAAGATGGTGTTCCCGCTCTGTGGTGAGCAAATGCTGGTCAACAGACAGGGCGGGGCTGTCGGGGTCTGAACCACGCAGGGGAACTCGTGCGTGTGCGTGTGCGTGTGTAAAAGCACCAGGGTATTAGCCAAGTCTGAGAATCACTGCTTAAGTTGATATGTCTTTTCCAGTCTGCTGTTTAAACTATGGCATTTAATAAAGAGAGACTGCCTTTAGCCCATTAAAAATGTTACAGCAACAATATCATGGAGAACCAGGGAGTTTATAAAAAGCACAGTTAATTATAATTCATCCTTGGCAAAGAACTCAGAGCCAAAATTAATTCTATCCTCTCCCCTCAAAATGGGCTCTTAAGCCTATTTACTTACCGAAAATTCCCCTGAAAGCTCCGACGTGAAGGATTCCGGGGAATATGAGGTCCAGGTGCCTGTTTTTCTCTTGGCCCCGGCCCTCCTCTGCCCCAGGCTCTTCGGGGCGCCCGTGCTCACTAGGGCTCAGCCACCAGGGAGAATGGGGGCCAGAGGAGACCGAGGTTGGGAGAGTTCTTCCTTACTCTGCTCTGGGTTTTTCGGCCGAGGCCGAAGGCCCCTCCGCGCCAGCTCCTGGGGGGCGCCCGTCCTTGGCGCTCCAGCGCCTTCCGGGGGGCGGTTACCACTTCCGGCGGAGGCTAAGCCTCCTGCGAGCAGCCCCTTCGTTCAAGTCTGTTCAGCTGTGGAGTTGGATCCCGCTTCCCTCAGGGGCCCCAACTAGTTAGTCCGTAATAAGAAACTCTTGACTGCCATCAACTAGGACAGTGATGTCCTGATTTGCTGGTCTCTGATGGAATTAAATTTAACTCAGGTGTTCCATCGGTTTGGCTAGAAAGTAATACGACTAAGTTTGAAAACAAATGGTCAGGAACTTGTACCTTCAAATTTCATTGCCTCCTCAAAGTTGACACCTTGGGACGCTTTAATGTCTATAGCCAACATGTTAAAATATTCTGAGGTTGCCTTTTTTGGTTACCTTTAGTGTTTATAAGATATTTTGAATAATGGAAAATGATCCTCCTCTGATGGCAGATTTGATTCGGATCAACAGGCAATATCATAATACATATATGGAAATTAGCAGTACTTTCGTGATGTTTATATGCAAATTTCACTAACTGTCCTCAAAATGTCTTTTATTGCTTGTTCTTCTTTTCTTTTAAACCAGGATGGACGTTCTGGGATTGCTTTGGGTTGTCTCCAGTGCCGTCAAGGAGGCAAAGATGTGACTTTTATGTGTGTTACTCTGTGATTATGTGTGTTATGTAACATAAATCTACGAACTGCATCGACTGAAGTTTAGAGAAGGTTAAGTGTTCAGGGCATCTCAAAGGACATGATTTGGGTATGGGAGGAAATGAGAAAGTCATCGTAAGGGCCATTCAATTAGAGGGAGTAGTCAGCATTCTCCCTTTTCATGTTAGGCCACACAGAAAATAATGCTATTTCCATAGCACGCTGGGTTGAACAGAGAGGGCTTCTTGGGGCCTGTCTGGGGCTTCAGCTGATAGGTCCCCTGTCCTAATGGCTGGCGGGCCTACATTTGTAGTACACCTTGGAAATGTTCAGACCAAAATATGGCAACTTAACAGCTTCCAGATTTCTTCATGCCCAGGCTATTTTTATTTCCAGTCCCCATCACTTTGATCCAGTGCATTTCCTCCTCATAAGAGCCTCAACCAGAGTCTTGCTCTGCCCCTTCAGCAGCTGCCTAAACCCATTAACCTGGAAAAACAAAGACAGCGGTGGCCTTTTTCCATGGTATTTATTCCCAATCAACTAGCTACACGAGGGGGACAAACAAATTAGAGTTTTTCAGGGGAGGAGTGGGGGATGAGGTGGAAGGCTGGGATTCAAACAGAAAACAATCATATAAATGGTTAGATGAAAGATTTACAAATATCCATTAAAAAAAATAGTATCCTCTGAGGGTAAAAGAGAAAGATAAAATCATCTTGAATAAAATAAATTAACAACTTCTGATCATTGCAGTCTTCAAAACCAGTCTCTGAAAATGGTTTGCATTTTAAACAGCTATGATCTCCAACACAGAAAAATAAAGACAAACACTAAGCAACAAATTAATACAATGCAGGGAAAATTCAACACATGAAAATAGCTATCATCTGGTAGCAAAAATAGATTTATGCCGATGTTAATATTACAATTAAAGACATTCAGGTCGATTATGTCAATACACTGAAACTATTATTCCTAAGATCATAAGGCCAACTTCTTACTGCTCCTACTGGTAATTAAAAGGCCTGAGGAAATTCTTCCATAGCTGGAAGGCATACTATAACTTAGAGTATGTAGTAGACCTACAACAAGGTTCAACAACCAAATAAAAACTTTATACTTTATTATTTTTCTTTTAGGGTTGACACTGTTAGTAGAACAAGACTCCTCATCATAAATCTGGAAAATGCAGATGAAGGAGAGTGCTTGGAACCCAAGCAAATGATTAACTGGAAGCAATTAAAATCAGAATATGAGAAAAGCAGCAGCCCAAATGAAGTGAACATTAAAATAAAGTTGGTTTGTATATTTTTCTCTCCCCAGAGAGTCCCACAGGAAGGACAGGAAGACTGTGGGGGCTTTTGGGGGCATTCTGTGGGGACTTAATAGATAAAAGACTGCTGTCCTAACGTGAACCCCGTATATTTCATTAGGACCAGGACCAGCCTGGCTCCTGGGAGGTGAACTGCCTGGGGAAGCCGCACTAAGACTCTGATGATTACACTTGACTCCAGGAAATAGCCAGCCTACGCTGTGGGGCTCCGGGAGGGAGGGATCTGCCGCCTGGCTACACTGGTGACTGCGGCTCCTTCCTGAAGGGGCTCCTGCAGCATGGGATATCAGCAGGGGCAGCAGGGACACCTGCAGTGTAATGTGGTTGACTGCCCATTTCCCAGATCTGCTCAGTTCACCGTGAATCTGAGATGGGAAGATCAAGAAGAAACATGGAGGTGACAACATGTACCTCAAGTGACACAATGATTGGCATTCTTTAATTGGGAGATTCAAAATCCAGAAAATTCAATACTTCCTCAGTTCTTCCCAAACAATGCCATGTTTCTGTTTTCTTTATCGTAAAAATAGAAGATGTCCTTGAGATACAAGTTAGGTGGCAAGGTGCTTTTGAGAATAAGCATGGAAGGAAAAAAGAAGCCATTTCTCCCTCAAGGGAGTTTTAGGATTATAATAAGATGCATCACCAAGCTGTTTAAATTTCAGAAAAGCCTTTTATAGAGGCTGGTACTGAAAATAGACTTTTTAATTTGCATACAGTTCTGTATCTTATTCAAATTCATCCCCACTCCCATCTCAAATAAGATGACTACAAAGGTGAGATTTGGTCCATTTATCCTTGTGATTACAAATTGAAACATAAGATCAATTGCAATAATAGCACTGGAACAATTAAAGAATTTCCAAATACCGCATGACAAAGCTACATCCATTCAGGCTGCAAGTGTTGTGGTGGCGGTGGTGGTGGTGGCAGTGGTGGTTGGGAGCCAGCCTCTGGAGCTGGCCTGTTAAACACTCAGCATTACTAAAGTTCTACATTTATCTTCACACTGTGAAAACTAGATTTGTTTTCCCCTGGAGTACCCTTAAAATCTACAGCCTGCTTCTTCCTGTCTGTGAGCAGAATTTGGATACATGCTTGAAAAGAAAAGAACAAAGCAAATACCAAAGAATTTGATTGTATCAGTTAACTGCTTAGAATTGGAAATGATATTCACATTGTGTTCATCTTGATGTCTTGATAAAATGGAATGGCTGAATGCAATATTTAATGAGTCGTGTGGTGGTTTTAAAATGCTAGTCACTTGCAGATTCCCAAAGGCTACTGATCCACTTTAAATCACTCCATTTTTGAAATGCAGTACTGCCCAACTAGTTATTTGGTGTGACACTGAATAATCGTGCATTCTTTTTTCTGTTATTTATTCTACTTTTCCTTCATCGCATTCTGCATGTCCGGAAATTATTTAATTATCTAAACATGTTTTCTGGAGAAATCTTTTTAACATACCATTTTACTTGATACTCTATAGAATTGTTACGGACTTTAGAGTAAAAGGCTTAAAAATTAGGCTTTGGTTTTAATGTAATCTGGGCAGAAGTTGGAATTGCTTTGACAGCACAACTACTGCACAAATTCTATTATTATAATTGGAAATAATCTATTTAAAAAGGAAAAGTTTTTCCTTTTGGTAGTTATAATGTGTATTATTCAAGACGGCTGCAAAACTCACAAACGAGTGATAAGAGTAAGAAGAAAGTGTAGGAAAGGGATAAGAAGACACTTAAAGCTTTATCAGAACACAACACAAAGGAAGGACATCAATTCTCTACATTTGTCTATAAGGCAGATGGTCAAACTTTTTATATAAGATCTAAAATATGGTGCTTATTAAGAGGTAGAAAATACCAAAACAGTATTTAGAATAATATGTTGAGTTGTTTAAAGCAATCTTTGCTAAACTTTTGGAAAGTCAAGCTGTTGTGTGGGATGCACTGTAGTTTTTACACTAAACCAGGACATTCCACACTCAACAGAGATGTGGTCAAACAGCAGGGGAGGTGGTAGGTGAGGGACATGGAAGCAGAAAAGTTTCTTAACTTGTCAAGGATTCAACTCTTACTAAGGAGAAATTTCCTGCTGTCCGTCTGGGATTTCATTATGACATTTAGTTAACGAGGGTTTCTCAGGTTATCGATAATTTCTCTGAGTAACAGGGTACAGTTTTGCACATAAAGCAATGAAACTATAGGGAGGGATGAGCTCAAGTGCTTCCTCTTCAAGAAGGTACCATATCCGTCTTACATAAAAATATATATCCCACTCATCTTAGGCCGTCCCCCTAACCACTAAAATGCAAATTCAACTAGTCTTCGGACTCCAACACCAGCAGAAGTGTTCCGTGTGAATGATTCGAAAGCTGTCTGAGGCAAAAAGGTACCTGAGCTACCAAATTAAACCTGGGTGGCTCACGCACAGGTGAGTAACCCTGGGTATTATTTCTTAACTCACCTGGGAGAGATGGATTTTTTTCCTCCAGTATAATTTTATAAGGCATTAAATTTTATAAATTTAACTAGAATTTTCCTAAACTTTGGAAAATTAGTGTTAAAGCTTCTTTTTTAACCCACACGTTAACATTCAGTCTTTCGTTTTTATTAAATAGTTTATATATAAAAAGAAATATCAAGGTGTTCTACATTCATATAAACAACTTGATAACATTTGAAATTGTAAAGAAACCTACTAAAGAAAATATATACTTACAATGCTAAGCTAATAAGCATAAGTGATCATTCTAAATAATACCTTTTAAATATACAGACACAGGTTTGTGGCTTCAGAAAGCAGATACGGGAGAAGTACAAAGATATATCACTCTTTCCTTTTTTACCACAAGATAGGATGGTCCAGTTTGGAAAAACCAAAATCTTTCCTCAGTTCCAAATAGGTGCCGTTGCTCACCCAAGAGTCATCGCTCGATTTCCTGGGGAAGTGAGAAAATGAGTTGAAGGCTCTTGACCAGACTGTCTTATTCTGTCCCCCTTTCCCTGCCCTGCCCCCCACCAGGTTTTAATGGGCACTTGCCCAGCGGGACCCTGATGGTCCAGTACTGGACCAGTGAGGGAGCTGGAAGCCTGGAAACCATTGTGCTATTTATGACTTTGACTTCTCGAGCTTAGAGGCTGTGAAAATGCTTCCAAGAAAAGGGAGAGGGAAGAGTCTGCCATCTAGAAAACACGGCTGGGGCAACAGCCACCACCTTGGGTATGACTGTGCGAAAGCTACAAATCAACCAGGGTGTTCATATCAAGTGATAAAGTAAAAGTACAAAGGAAAGGAACGGGAAGTCGCCACAGTCTGGAGTGAACAGCCTTGGTTTAACTATTCTTTGAATGGGTAATATATCACACAGATCAAAATTCAAAAGGTACAAGAGGGGACAGCGGGAAGTTTTCTTCCAACTCCTACCCCCCAGCCTCCCAGTTCTTCTCCCCAGAGGCAATGATCTTATCAGCTTCACTCTTGCAGAGAAATTCCACGTGTGTGTGAGTGTGCACACACACACGCACCCACACACTCCATCCCTCTCCTATTTTTCACACAATGATAGCCCTGGAAGGTTTTGGAAACCCTGAGTTTTTGACATCTCGTCTATATTGGAAATCCTTTTGCATTGTCACAATAAGGTCAGCAAACTACAGCCCAGGGGCCAAATCCAGCCTCTGGCCTGTCTTTGTAACACTGTTTTACTAGGAAACACCATGCCCATTCGCTGAAGTATCATCTATGGTTGCTTTCACAGTGCACAGCATGGTTGAGTCATCACCACTGAGACCTCCTGGTCTGCAAAGCTAACCACATTCACCATTTTCCCTCTACAGGAAAAGTTCGGTGACTCTGGCAAAAAGGGAGTCCTTGTTTTGACTTTAGACAGTTAGGTGATATTCCATTCTGGAGATGGACCACAATTTAACAGGGACTCCACTGGTGGGCACTGAGGATGTTCTCAAACTTCGGCTGTTACAGACAAAACCTATGTTATTTTGTATGTGCATGAGATTAGCTACATTAAGAATTCCTGTAAGTAGAACTACTGGGTCAAAGAATATGTGCACATGTAATTTTGACCGATACTGTCACATGTTTCAGAAGCAAAAGTGGGGAGTGCCTATTTATTCACATTCTCAGCAACACAGATTTTTATCACCATTGTTTCCCTACTCCAATAAAGGGATGTGTTTACAATAAGCCAATCTGCATATCAGATACTTTACTATGAAACAAAGATGACTCCTATTACCAGAGCTGTGGTTTCCACTTGGAATTTCCAGTGATGTGTGTGTTGCTCCCCAGTGAGTGTCAATGGAAATGCCCAAGTCCCCATGCCCCTCTCTGTCATCTCTTGGCCGGCTTCTAATTGGAACAGGTCTGGGGCTGCTACGGCTGCACAATTCCCACCTTTTCTCCACATTTTTATTTGCCACATCCAATACTCTGATAACTTTATAGACCATCAAAATGAAAAAGAGCTGCAGCTGTGTTCAGCCCTTTTCCATTCCAGACATAGGTCTTCCATGGTGGCAGTGACAGCCTAGATAACATTTTACATTTTGCATTTTAAATGTTAGTTCGTTTCCCACAGAGCTCCACAGACCTTGTGAAGTCATTTTTTCACACTTTCACACTAAATCAAGTTGATAAATCTCCTTATCTAGTTCTTGAGACAATTTGGTTACCCACAATTTTTAATGATCCTAAAAATACTGTAACATACCTCTTTATAAATGTAGATTTTCCTTGTTTGAAAATAATTAATGATTTATGAAAGAAAAAAAAAAGAATCAACCTACTTAAGGGTACATGTGGTAACTATCAATTGATAAGTAAATCATTTGATCAGTCTGTTAGCCTATCCATTTATTTATCCCTTGCCTTTTTCCTCCTCCCCCAAAAAATTAGGGTGTCTTATTTTTTAAATGTTAAAACAAAGTATGACTATTTCAGGATAAAACTCTGGCCCATGGATCTTCAATCACTCATATCCTGAGTTTATGGAAATGATCAAAATCCACATCAACTTTAGGGGAAAAAACATTATACTTTGAGGATAAAACATCCTTTGCTATTTTGCTGTTTTGGAATACACATTCTATTGCTGCCACCGATAGATTAGTAAAGTGTTTCTGTCACCCATTAAAAAACAATGACAACCAAAAATCCCTCCAAACAACAACAAAGTCCCCAAAACAAGGCTAGGGTGAAGAGGTGGGGTAGGCACTTACTACTTTTCTACATGTGCTTGTTTTAATGTTGATTTTTAAAAAGTGAACAAGCAAAAAACTCTAAAACCATACCCAGCCCTGGCCTGTCATCAAGAGAGCCAGGCCCCCATCTGGGGCGTTCCCCGGCTTCTTGCACTGATCACCTGTGTTCCCTGGGCCTTTGTTTCTTCTCAGTGAAAATAAAAGAGCGGGTGAAAGGCTGATGACCTCTGATGTCCCTTCTAAAACTTTAAGTCTGTTTTTAACAAGACCTTCCTAGCAAGTTAGTTTATAATAATAGTAAATGTTCTAAATCCAAGCCCCAGGATATTGGAATGCCTGCCATTCAAGAATGAGATTACTTGGAATTTCTAGTTTGGTGCCCACTGGAGTGACTGTTAGCTATCCCCGCCACTGTGTAAACTACACCTGTGTGGGTGACCAGCCTTAGATGGGGACTCAATCAACTGGCCTGGTCCAGGAGCTGGGTTTGGTTGGTCCCAGTGCTTCTCCCACAAGCCCTTACTGAGCACCCCCTGCAGAGTCCCTGGGAGAGGCACCGAGAGGCAGCTGGGCGAGAGCAAGGACGCAGGAAAAGGAGGACCGAGCAGCGGACAGCCTGCGGGCAGCGTCCACACAAAGTTGGGCCTCACAGAGAAGAGCTCTCACCACCTGAAGCAGGAAAAGCATGGAGAACACTCTCACTTGGGGAGGGGACACCCCTGTTGGCTTCACACCAGAAGCATCGGGTGTCACCAGTACCTGCCAGCAGCGACCCACCCGACCCTGCCCCATGCACACCTGAAAAACCGCGGCTGGTGCTCCACCTTATTTTCTTCCAAGACGCGCCGCCTCTCTCTCTGCAGCTCTTCAATCCTCTGCTTCTGTCTTTCAGCTTCTTCTAAGTTCCCTTCTTCTAGAAACCTGAGGCATTGAGGAAAAAGATCAAGGAATACAAATGTCAAGGAAATGTAGCGATCATTATTACTAGAATTACACGTGTAAAGACTGGCTTTTCAGAATGCTCTCCTCTACCAAACCCTTAAAATGTCATTTGGATGTAGTTACGGATGGCACTATGAATTGGTGACGTAAACATGGTTCAAAAAAATTATATCTATAAAAAGGAATCTGGGGCAAAATCTCCCTCTCATTCCCATCTCCAGTTCTAACTATTTCCGGCTCATCCCCCCCTCTTCACCCCCTACCACAGGTAACCCACTGTTTCCCATTCCTGGTGCATCCTTTTAGTGATTCCTTATTCATAGATGAGCAAACATTAATAGATATTCTTACCCTTCCCTCCCTTGTAAGGACATAAATGGAAGCAGGCCATATTGTCTGTATCTTGGTTTCCTGTTTTTACTTTTTACTTAACAACATATCTTGAGGGGAAGGGTATAGCTCAGTGGTAGAGCATGTGCCTAGCATCCACGAGGTCCTGAGTTCAATCCCTAGTACCTCCATTAAAATAAATTAATTATTAAAAAATGTATATATGTATACCTTGGAGATCTTTCTTGGTAGCACACAGATCTCTTCACTTTTTAATAGATGCATAATATTCCATTGTGTGGATATACCTGCATTTGTTTAAACAATTCCCGACTGACAGACATTCAGAATGTTCCCATTTTTTTTTTAATGTACAGTTAATGCTGCAGTGAAGGACTGTGTCTGTGTCATTTTGCACATGCATTAGTGCGCCTATAAGGAGGTATTTCTAGAGATGGAATTGCTGGGTTAAAGGGTGAGTCTGTAATTTGTCTACTACCAAACTGCCCTTTATGGGGATTATAGCCATTTACATCTCTTCCAGCAATATCATTAGTGTCCCTCTTTCCCAAAGCCGCCAAGTACATCAAACTTTTGAATCTTTGCCATCTGATAGGTTAAGAAATGGTATGGCAGTGTGGTTTTAAAAATTTGCATTTCTTTTTGTAAGACTGAGCATCTTTTCATATGTTTAAGGGATATCTGCATTTCCTGTTCGTTTTCCTATGTCCATTTCTTTTAATGGCTTGATCTTGACTTCTAGAACCAATTCATAAAGGGAAAGGCAAATACAGATTTCTCAGTTTGTCATTAATCTTTTGCTTCTGGGTATATATTTTATTTACTTTACCATGAAGGATGCTGAGTTGTTTTTTTTTTTTTGAATAAAGGCAAATTTTAGCAATTTTTTTTTTTGCCTGGTTGGTGTTGAGTCTTAATTAGAAAGGTCTTAGGGAGAAATTATCCTGTCCATTTTACAGAGTTGGAAACTGAGGCTGAGAAAGGTTAAAAGACCTAGCATACATCATGCAGCTTGTCAGCAGCAAACCTAGAATCAGAAGTTAGATTTCAGTGCACCAAAATAATTTAAATTCGAGGGGTGGGGAGCTGGATACTTTTACTGTTTCAAACATAGAGTAAGTTTTTATTTTAACTGCTGTATGCAGTGCAATTTTTTAAAAAACACTCTTTTTTTTTTTTTGTATTTCAATGGAAATGGGGCTTTCCTGATGAATAAAGGTCACGCCACACACAGATCTAAGCTGGGCTCTGTTCCTTCCGCATGATTGCTTCAAGTCCCCCTAGACCTCTGTACCTGATGACAGAATTTCTCTGTCTTAGGCTCCTTTGGTGGCCTGGGGATGTTACTAAGACTTTTTATAAAGAGTTTCACATCTCTGGAGATAAAGATCTGAAAAAAAATCCTTACCTTTGGTCTGGCCTGAATCGAGTGTCGGTAGGGGGTAATAAAGACTTTGACAGTGGATCCATTTCATTTAATTCTAGAGCAAACTGTGTGAAGCCATAATATTGCTCATAGCCTTTCGGCATGGGATCTAAAAGAAAAAGAAATCATTCATCTCTAACTTGTAGGGCATTCATGCTACATCTTAATTCCTTCACCTTTTTCATCTCAGACCAGCTACAAATTTTCTCTCTCAGCTCTAAACTCTTCCATTTCTATTAAAATATTCTGGCTAACAAAGAGGTGCTGCATTTTTCTCTATAAATTTTCTTCTCTATAAGTTTCCTTCTACCTACAGGGATAAGGCCTCCTTTGTGTGGTCCTATAGCAAATTAATTAAATACCAGAAAGTTTCTATACGGTTTCAGCTATAAAAATAATTTGTTACTAAAATAAACATGTTAAAAAGAACTCTAACCACTTTCCCTGATTAACCAGACTCACTTCAGAGGACCCAGTTTTCATTTAAGAAATGTCACATTCTCCTGAAACTCTGTCTGGTACCTAGAATAGCGCTAAACCCACAGCAAGGGATCAATATACGTTACTCTTTCTTTCCATTCCTCTCTTCTTTTCAACAAGGCTTGGCCCCTCCAAATCTTACATGTTTAAATTTTAAACCATCTCAGCAGAAGCCAGGAACAGAAATGGGATTATACCGGCAGAAACACTGCCAGCTAGAACCCAAGGTGACAGAGAAAATGGAACCGAAAGCAAGGCTGGTGACCTGTTGGTATTTTCCAGCAGGGACCAGAGACCTATCCACCTGCAAACATGAACTGTCCTTCCAGAAAAGAGAGCAATGACTCTGAAGGTGATTCAGACGTCAGCCAGCTGCCGCTCCCACCTCGGGCCCAGACTCCACAGGCCCAGGGGCGAGGCTGCCTCCACTCCTCAAAGGGCAGGGCCGCCGAATAGCTTCACCACGCGGCTGCCACCACCCAGAGCCTTGGGGGCCTTGGGAACTGGGCACATCCCAGTGGGTTCAGAGGGCAGGGCACTGAGCCAAGGAGCATGCCCTCCAGTCTTAAGCCCTAATGGCATTTGCCTTGCTAGGTCTTGGGCTCGCTTGAGATCTGTCTCCCTCTCTTCTTTCCTTTCTCCTTTTGGAATGGGAACGTCTACCCCATGCCCCACTCACCACTATATTTTGGAAGCACATTTTGATTTCACAGGCTCACGGCTGGAGAGGATGAACCATACCTCAAATCTTACCGGTAACTGATTTCAGTGATATTTAGATGAGACTGTGTACTTCAGAGTTGACGCTGGAATGAGGTAAGACTTCAGGGGCACTTGGGAAGGAATACATATATTTTGCACATAAGGTTTTAGGGGGCCGGGGGCAGAATGCTATGGACTGAATGTTTATGCTCTCCCCAAATTCACATGTTAAAGCCCCAGCCCCAGTGGAGATGGAGATGGGGCCTCTAAGGAAGTTATCAAAGTCAAATGAGGTCAGAAGGGTGGGCCCTGATCTTGAGGCCAAGCCAGGAAGAGAGCTCTCAACAAAACCCGAATTTGTCAGAACCCAGCCTCCAGAACCGTGAGAAAACAAATTTCTACTGTTTGAGACCCAGTCTGTGGTGTTTTGTTACAGCAGTCCAAGCAGATCAATGCAGGTATGTTGCTCTACTTTGAATTCCAGCTAAAAATTAAGCTAGAAATACCCAAATATACATATTGGGTAAGTCAAATCTAGACTAATAAGATCCATCCCCAGCCTTGCTCTGCTTGTTCACATATACAAACACAAATGCTTTCCTTGAACTTTTCCGCAGACCCATTTTTTGACGTTTCAGAAGTCCATTTTGTCTAATTCGAATTCTCTGTGGATCCTAAGCATAAAAATAATAGCAACGCTTCCTACAGTGCCTTCAGAAATCCATGCCAGGACACATCTGCTGGGGGGCAGGGTGGGGAGGTCCTGGGAAATATTTCATTCCTGAGAAAAGAGAGGCACAAGAGAAGAAAAGCTCTTTTGTCCTCCCTTCTCCCCTGCTTAGTGAGCTGCCACTTGGTGATATGATACTGAATCGAGACAACCACTTCATATCCATGAGACGAAACATCACCGCCATACTGGGAGTGGCAGATGTGTCCTCAATGATCTATGCTCTTGGTAAGCTGCCTATGGAACAACCCTGGGGCCATGCACCCTCTCATGTGTTGTTAACAGCACATACCCTACTGGTTTAAGCCACTATTAGAATGGTTTTCTTTTTTTGTTTTATTTTGTTCACCCTAAAGCACCATAACGGTGGTCTCTCGGAACAATGGTTTTATAGTATGACTATGACTTGGAAAGATATATATCAGATTAGATGATGGACTAAAGTCTTAAAATGTTTTGGGGGACATGTTATGAAGGTTTGGTTAGCTTCCTTACCCCTTCTCCCCATAGCAGTTTCAAGCATTTAGCATCCTTCTAGAATTACAGGAGAGACTGGAGGGCTTATGGTGTTGGGAGGATCTAGGGAATCCCTAACTGTTGTAGGTCACTCTGCTTTTCCAGTAACAGTTTTCCCTTCATCTTTACTCCAGAATGACTTCTATTTCACTGATATTCCTTCTTAGCGCCCAGTATAGGCAAAGGAATCACGTGTGACAACTGGAAGACAGAGTAACCATGGATTAGCAAGGCTTTGTTCTGGGATTAAGAACCCAGGACTCACCAGCCCCAAAGAGGTATTGTTGATAAGCATGAGGATGTGTCTGAGATATGACTAGGTGAAAGAAAAAAGGGCCAATAGCTCTAACATAGTTCAAAGCAGGGAGAGCCTAGAGACACCAGCTGGACACTGACGCGCGCCCTGTGCGATTCCTCTGGTCGTGCCCCTGCTCTGCTTGGGGCTGATTAACCCAGGTACTAACTCGCTCTCCAGATACAAGCGGATGAGGAGGAGCCACCGCAGTAGATGCTCTCGTGCCATTTCCCAAAGAGCCGATGCACCGCTTTTCCACTCTTGTCAAATACCGTACCTTCGATCTCATGGGCATTAGTGCTCCAGTATTTTGCCTAGGATTCAAATGAGAGTTGTCTGTTTAGTGTGTTGGGATCAATTTATTACAGATATTAAGAGAAAAAAAAGGAGAGAAAAGGAACCATGAGAATGATTCTATGCTGCATAATGGTTTACTGGTTTTGGCTTTTTTTCTTTTTAATATTTAATAAAAATTAAAACTTAACCCTTAATTTATGGTTTGTAAGTCAACTACCAATATCTGTGTAAGATACAATTTTTTCTTCTCTCACTACATGCAGTTTAGGAAGGAAAGACTCAGTTTTCAAGTTCCCTCTGGAAGAGCTGTCCTGTGGCCGTCTCTGTGGCTCTGACTATTGCAATTTTAGAAAATGTAACTCATACAATTTTTTCTCTAAAGGAACTAGATAATCCTTTATAAACCAACCAACTTTTTTTTCCAGGTTTGTAAACCAATCAGTTTTCAGTTTCTTCTATTATTTTTTTCTCCCAAACAAGATTTGTTCATCTAACTTACAGGAACCTTATGCAACCCATGTTCCCATTGTGAGTCAGTCCTGGTCTGAGACCAATTCAGCTCAGCTCGGCTCTGTGAGTTTTACACACAGTACCACACTGTGGCCAGCAGAGAGAGCTCTAACTCCCTAGAGTTGATTTTTCACAGTTCAATTACCTGGCTGTCCTAAAAATCTCTGCAAAAGGCCAGAAGGCACTACTCCATAAATCAAAAAATCCTACTACTATTTTCAGCCAAAACGGAGTCCGTATTTGGAAACCAATAAAGTTAAGTGACACTTCCAGGCCGTATCTGGTGGGCTGGCTTCCCCACTCCAAGCCTGTGGCAAGAACGGGAGGAAGGGCAGAGTATAGCAGCGTCTCAGAGCTGAACCAGAACGTAAGTGTGAGTTCTCTAGCCACGTAAAAATGTGGGAAAGGGAAAACAAATACCGTCCAGGCTCGTAAGTTTATTCTCAAGCAGGAGTCAGACTTCCTCTTAGAGATATTTGCCAACAAGTTTTTGTCCTGGCTATACGGACAGGAAGCCACGGAGGGAGACAGTCATGTTCCACAGGTCACACCGCATCTGCTTTCAGATTCTGTCTCAACACCAGGGGTCCAGCCAATGTTGTAATTCTTTCCATCTCTCACTTCTACAAAACTCTGCTCTCTGGTCCTCCTCGGTGGACGAGTACCAAGTGGATGGTAGATATGGGGGTGAAAACATACGCCCTTGGGGAAAATCCTGAGAACAAGGTGGCTCTCACCTGGATCAGGGGTTACAGATCCCTGCTCCAGGCTGCCTTTGCTTCTTTTGGTAGAGAGCTTAGATGAAGTTTTCAAGGCAGGGTCATTTTTATTTTACGCAAATCGGTACCAGCTTGATGTCTGTCTGACTTACAGGATATAATAAAGACCCCCATCCACCTCTCCCTAACGCCCTCCACCTGCTACAGGTGCTGCAGAGAGGTACCACGTGCAATGCCACAGTCACAACCCAATCTCCTGGCTTATGATTTTGATCTTAATTAAATGCAAGCATTCCTTGAGGAGGGTGATGCTTTAAGGCCATTTTGTATGCGTGAGGGTTTTTAAGGGCAAGAGGGAACCTCAGGAGGAAAAGGAGGTAGGGGGAAGGGCTCAAATCAAGGCAGCTGGAAAGCTGCAAGGTAAGCAGACTAATGCAGGCTTTTTGACTCAGGGGAATCTGTATGCTTTTCCTGTGAATGTTCCTGAGCCTCTGCTATGTGCCGAGCATCAGTGCCAGGCGTCGGCCACAGGAGTGGGCCGGGCAGACCAAGCTTCTGCTTTTCTGGAGTCGGGAATGGCAAGGAGGGTGTGGGGAACAGAAAGTGAGCAAGTAAAACATAGGACAGTGCTAATACAAGCTTTGAAGGAAATGGGGTATGATGGCGTTGGACTACCAAGGATGATGGATCTGGGGAGAGGGGCCTGGGCAGAAGGAAATGAGGAGAAAGAAAGACAGTGCAGTCAGAGGACAACAAGGAAGGAAGGGGACAGAGGTGGCAGGAGCTGAGGCTGGGGAGGAAGGGGGGGGCGTGTATGTGTACATGTGAACGTAGGGGTGGGGTGGGGAGTGCGGACTCTGCAGTGGTCCATTGTAAGGATGCGGGCTTTTACTATGAGAAAGATGAAAGTTTTCAGAGGATTTTGGTCAAATATGGCATGGCTTTTTAAAAAAATTGCTGTAAAACGTACACACATAAGGTTTGCTGTTTTCTAAGTGTACAATTGAGTGGCATTAAGTTCATCACAATGCTGTGCAACCATTGCCTCATATATTTCCATAACTTTTTCATCTTCCCAAACTGAAACTGTACCCATTAAATAACGACTTCCCATTCCTTCCTCTCTCCGCCCCTGGCAACCACCATTCAACTTTCTGTCTTTATGAATGTGGCTGCTCTAGGTGCCTCATATAAATGGAATCGTATTTGTCCTGTGTCAGGCTTTTCATTTAGCATAATGTCCTCAGGGTTCATCCATATTGTAACATGATGACTTATGTTTTAAAGGGGTCCCTCTGGCTGCTGCACTGAGGACAGACCACAGGGGAGTACGGGTGGATGGAAGGAGGCCAGAAGGGGCCGTGGTCCTGGTGCAGGTGAGGAGGGGCTGGGACCAGGGGGCCCCTGGCATTGTTTGTCTCCTGGCCCAAAAGTGAAGGCAAAAAATTCTCCAAGGCGCCCCACCCTCCCCCATGCCTAAGGCCCCAGCTCTGCCCAGGCCCGCCCAGGTCACCTTTATAAAGTTCACTTTGCAGTGGCAGGAATCATCATTCAGGTTCTTGATGACAATCTCTCCATAGTGCTCGATCCACCTCTGCCCGCTTAAGATGTTATGGATGCAAGAGGTCACTTTGTTCCACTCAAAATGATCTCCAAAACTAAAGGCGGAAAATGTGACAGTAACAATTCCCAGAGGAGCCAGCGGCACATGCAAACAAGAGCTGCTATTTAAAAAGTCAGTCCTATAATGAATTACTCATTCCTGCAATCACAGAACCAACACTGACTAAGCCGTGCTGGGTGTCCCCGAGCTTTCACCCTCCAAGGAGGCGAAGGTGCCCCAGAAGGGGGTCAGACGTCAGACCTGGAAGCCGCCAGAGGCTCCACTAGAAGCTGGGGTTTTTGGGAACAACCCGCTCCCTCCCAAGACAGAGGAAACCGAGCCCAAGCAGACGTGTCTAAAGTTACCAAACTATGAAAGGAAAGCGGCAGTGGGGCGGGTACAGGGGTTTTTCACGGTGGGCTCTCTCCACACACATACACACGTGCACACACATACGTGTACACACAGGCACACACATGCACGTATGTATTTACAGACATGTGGTGTGTGCATATGGAGGCACATATATACAAGCACATCTCATTTCCTTGCACTTAACAGATACTGCGTTTTCTAGAAATTGAAGGTTTGTAGCAACCCTGTTGAGAGTTAAGTCTATCAGCACCATTTTTCCAATAGCATTTGCTCACTTAATGTCTAAGTGTAACTGAGCAGGAACCTGTGGGGCCTTCCCGGGACAGACCACCCCCTACCCCAGCCATAGTCTTTGCTGCATTTCCTCCCTGAAGTTCTCAGAATATAGTATCTCATGCATATTTCCTGAATTGTTTTTCAGATGCTAAAATCCACCACCAAAGGGAAGAAATTAACTACTTGATGATCACAAGCTCGTCCCCAGACTGGCACTTAGGGGATGATAGTATTAACTGTCCTGTTACCTTAACATCAACCAATCAGAGAATTGTGCACGAGCTGATCACGTACCCTGAGACCCCCCTCCTTTACCTGGCCTTAAATATGCTCTGCTGAACCCCTTTGGGGAGTCTGGGTTTTCTTGCACGCAAGCCACCCGGTCCTCCTCGCTGACCCCTGCCATAAAACTTTCTCTGCTCCAAACTCCGATGTTTCCATTTTATGCCCTTACTGTGTATGGAACACACGAACTTGCATTTGGTAACATATAAAGAACATAAAGCAGAATTTTCATATGCACTGGGAAACTAAAAAATTCATGTGACTCACTGTATTGTGGTATTTGCTCTACTGCAGTCAGTGGTCTAGAACCAAACCCACAACATCTCCAAGGTGTGCCTGTGTGTACACACACACACACTTTACATAAAAATCTTAAGATACATATATCTTAAATATTTTACAATGAGAAAGTGTTCAGATATCACTTACAGAGGTAAATAATAATTATGGCAATAATAGTAGTAAGAGCAAACACTTAAGTGGCACATGCTGCATGCCACTATTTTACATGCTTTACACATCTGCTTAATCCCTGCAACAGTCTTATGAAGTAGGTGGTTTATTACCCCTGTTTAGCAGTTGAGGGAACTGGTGATCAGAAAGGTTAAGTTACTGGCAGTACGCAGCAGGTGAGCACACGAGTCCTGGCAGCCCAGTTCCACAGGCCACACGCATTACCGTTTTGCTTTATGGGTAAGTATCAAGGCCTGAAAGATCCCTGAATCCCTGAAAGATCAAGGCCATTTCTTTCTTAAAAAAAATTTTGACAGTGAGGCAGGACAATGTTAAAGAAAAATCACCACTCTTAATTGTGTAAGAAAGTGGAAATGACTGTTTCAGAAGCCTCTTTTCAGGGAACACTGGTGTCCAGGAAGCATTTCCATTAAAGGGAACAAAAATGTGCGATTGTCAAAATGAGGAACACTTGAACCTACTGTCAAACACATTAAAAGAAAAAAATACACTCAACACCATGGAGGACAATGGGCATCCTGTTTCTACAGCTGTATCTTGGCCCTAAGTTCTATGAAGTTCCTAACTATAGAGGAAGAACTTACGCTGGCAGAGTCACATGGGTTGTGCCAATGGGAACAATTTCCATGGATTTGCCCCAGAATTTGTTTTTCCATCTCACGTCTGAAATGAAATAATACCAAATATTACATATTTAGCAGGAGAGCTAGGTAGATCAAAGAGTTCTTAGGCTGAATAAATGATCAATCACCATACAGAACAATCTCTTCAGAATAAAATTCACTGTTATTCAATATAAGCAGCAGCTGAGTATCTGGAATAGAATCAGAGAAACTAAAGTTATAAAGTCTCTCCCTTGGAAGGACTTACAGTATGAAAGGGAGACAGAAGTGAAAATAGGTAAGCTCCCCCCTGCCACAGAGAGGCATGGTCTGTAACCGAGAATGTTAGAAGGGGAAACAGAACCAGAGGGGAGGGAATGACCAATGTGCTAGGGGAAGACATCAGAAGAGGCTTGTTTGACAGGATCACTTAAACTGGGCTTGGAAGAATAAGCAGGGGCTCACCAGGCAGAGAAAAAGCTATTCAAGAAGAAGACGTGAGAGGTGCAAGAGAACAGGGTGTGGGTCTGTCCTACTTGTCTCAGACTGTCTAGAGAGAAGATTAGAAAGACAACTTGAGCACAGAAAACAGTGGGCTCTACAAGCCTGGCTAAGAAGTCTGGTTAGTGTCCACTGGGGAAAATAAGGTGTTTGTTTAGGCAGAGAACTGATGTGACAGATACAGATTTTATAAAGATGATTGACAGCAATACAGAGAATGGACCAGGGGCAGGAGAGATGAGAAGCAGGTGACCTGCATTTGCTCAAGGGATAAAGGAAGATGAAGTGAACCAGGAAGTGGGGGTGAGGATGTGAGTGGAAGGGAATGACCCCAGAACCACTAAAGATGCAGAAATAGAACTGGGTGATGAATTAGGTGCAGATTGTGAAAGTCAGGGAGAATTCGTGGATGATTTCAGATTTTTCTAACTCACACGAATGGTGGTGCCATCAGGGAGGCCGGAAATAGAAAAAGAAGGGCAGAGATGGATGACCTCTCTGGCTGCTGGTTGACAATACACAGACCATAGCAGAGCAAATGTGAAAGCAGAGAGGCCAGTAAGGGGTCATGGCCATGGTCCAGGAGAGAGGGGTCTGGGACCAGGAAGCCCCTGGTCACATATTGCATGATTCCATTTATATGGTATGCCCAGAAGAGGCAAATCTATGGGGACAGGAAGTAGGTCAGAGGTTGCCTAAGGATGGAAGAACTTGATGGAAATTGGAAATTGAGGGGTAAGAGTGGGAATCATGGGTAAAATGGTTTCTTTTTGGAGTGATGAAAATGTTCTTAAATATATTGTGGTGATGATTGTACAACTCTGTGAATATCCGAAAAACCATTCAATTGTACCTTTTAATTAGGTAAATTGTATAGCACATAAATTATGTCTCAGTAAAGTTGTTACCAAAAAAAAAGACAACTGGCTGTTTAAAGTAAAAACAATAACAATGTATTGTAGGATTTATAACACAAGTGCATGTCTGCAAAAACACAAGGCGGAAGAAGGGAAATGGAAGAACACTTTTGTCAGTTTCTTATACTACATGTGAAGTGGTATACTACTACTTGAACACAGACTGCGATGAGTTAAAGATACATAAAATGAATATCAAAGGAAACAAATGAAAAATGGAACAAAGAAGTATAGCTAATAAGCCAGCAAAGAGATACTATGGAATCAGAGAAAGTGATCAATCCCAAAGAGGGCAGAAAAAGAGGAACAGGGGAACAAAGGTAAAACAAATAACAAGAGGCCAGATTTAAACCCAACTATGTCCATAATCACCATAAATGTAAATAGTCTAAACAGCCTAATTAAAAGACAGAAATGTCAAATTGGACTGAAAAAAAAGCAAGATTTGGCAGTCACGGGCTTAAGGAAAGATGGGGTTGCCCAGGAAAAGGCTGATGAGAAGAAGGAAAAGGAGCTGAGGAGAAAACTGTGTGTGACGTAAGGAGCACACGGGAAGGACTTGGAGAAGACTCCTCCCACTACATAATACGTAACTTTAAAAATAGTAATAAAAGTGCTTATGAAGTCAATGACACTTAGCAATTAGGAGGTTAGAGATCTTATGGGAATTATTTCCAGAGGGTTTGGGTGAAAGAGAAGTTCCTAGTCAAATTTCAATTCTAAACTTTATTAGCAAAGATTCAGACAGGAAACCATGGTACTTGTAATCTAAACTGGTAATCTCCTCCAGAGAGAGGAACTGGGTGCTGGGAACCAAGATGGGGGAAGAAAACTTTTCACAAAATACTTTCTTACCTTTTAAATTTTATAGATGCAGAGAAAAATCTTTTTAAAAACTGATGTATGCTCATTGTTCAAAAACCTGGGGTGCTCACATTTTCTTTCTGTAATACCCCTGACTTTTGAATAAAGAAGTTAACTAAATTAATTAATCTATGTAGGAAATAAATATTTGCAGCTTTATTTATTTTTCAGAGCAACCCATTCCTTCCCATATTCAAAATATAATAAACTGAATATAGGAACAACAACCCCCAAACTGAAAAAAAGTCAGCCATGTAAAATTTCAAAAATAAATTTTAAACTTTTCAAAAGCAAACAGCCCCTCTGCTGTCTAGATTCTGATAAATAACTGTAAGTATTTAGTGTCTCTTGAAATGCATGAGACATTGCAAATGGCAGTGGAATAAGACAGAGAGAGTCACAGGAATAAACGGTGGAGGTCCAAAGACTGAGGATTTTTAAAGAAGGGAACAACTGAATTATCCTCCAGAATCTTCCATTATAAACTAGACAAATAGTTATTGTTTAGAAATGAGAGCAAGAACACCAAGTGGTCCAGATCCTTCCAGCAATGCCCACGTGCAAGGCCCACTTTTGATCTCACGAAGCATTTACAGAAGGTCCTGAATAAAATAAATTATAACATTACATGAAGTGATAGAGGTCAAACATATCAGCACATTACCTTGCCAGAACACAAAATTTTCAGACTCAGCATGACACGCAGATATTGGCGGATGGTGGCTGACCTGATGGAAACAAAGGCGGAGAAAACAAAAGGTTAACTTTTGCATCTCACAAGATCCACCCTTTCTCCCTCACATGGGGATGTCACACAGCGTGCAGTGTCTAGCTGAATGGAAACTTGCTTAGTTTCCCTTCAACCAGTCTGTCCTCAAGAGGGTGCTCCTGATACAGTCAGCTCTGCCTTGTTCAAACTCATCAGGAAAAAAAGTCTGTGGATGGAAGCCTCTGGAAGCCTTGGCGGGAAAAGCAGCCAAGTGGTGAGTGATAAGGGTGGAGACGTGTTTTGAAATATGTCAAAAGAACAGCAGAGATGCAGGAGCTGCCCACTGATAAGTCACAGAACCTGACATTGGCTGCCAAGGTCAAAATCTCTACTAGCTGTTCTGAGAGTAACTGAATGTTTTAATTAAGATATCACATAGCAAATACTTCTAAATGTTAAGTAACTATTTCTAGGCAACACCCAAATGCTCTTTGACTCAGCAGATTTTACTCTTTTGAAAACTGCATCAGGAAATCCAGCCACTTTTTAAATTACTGACAAGAAAACCAACCCAAGAGCTTTTTTTTTCTTAGAAGAATAATGTTTTTATAAAAAAGAGCTAAACAATTATTGAAGAAATGTTAGTCAGCTGCTCAGAGGATATCTTTGTTCATATTTATTCATAAAAATATCTTGAGTAAATACGCAATTACATTCCAGAAAAGAGAGCCCCTGTAACAGAGACAGCAGAACACTGCCCTGCCCTCTGTCACTAGGGTCATTACGCCTGTTTTACTCACTCATGAAGAAGCCAAAGAGAAAAAAGCCCCTCAGACTTATCTTTTCAATTTTATAGATGCAGAGAAAAATCTTTTTAAAAACTGACGTGTGCTCATTGTTCACAACTCAGGGCATGAGGCCAGTATATGTGCTGTTATTGTAACTCAGCACTAGTAGAACCACAGTAGTGCTGCTAGTGGTGTTTCTAGAAACTTCTCTGACTTGGCTGGTTCTTAGCAAAGGTATCTCACGTTTAGAACATTTATCCCAAAGCTTTCATATTACACACGAGGAGACTGAAACGAGCAAGTTTAAGTAACACTTCCAAACACACTAATAGGGAAGAAGTAAAGGTAAAATCCAGCATATTTGATTCCTAGATGGTTTTCAAAGTCTCCACCCCTAAAAAGAAATTGTTTTAAGTAGCCACATCTTGTCTTCAAACATATCTTATCAAGAGCTCGGAATATTCAGAGCCCTGCGTGAGGTGAACAGGGGTGGTGGGGAAGGGGGTTGACAAGTCCATGCCACTCGCCTCGCTCTGGCCCCTGGACTTAGCGAGAAACTCGGTCTGAGAACCACTTCTGTGCCACTGCTGCAGGTGGAGAACAGCAGGGACAGGATGACCTCGAGGCCACATAACACATAACACCTTCAGGGTGGCCGAAGAGAAGTAGGGACAAAGATTTCAGTAGTGCGGTGTCTTTCAGATCTCTGCAGACATAAACCCCAGCTCCCATATGAGGTGCGAGGCGCCCGTCTGCTGTCCCTTGGGTGGGCTGAGTTCCCAAGGGCCTCTTGAGAAGGTGAGCCCCTCCCGGTGCCTGCGGGCTTCTCACCTCACACAGGGACACAGAAGCCTCCCTCCTGAAGTGCAGCTCTCGGCTTGCTTCATTGTCTTCTTTTCAATCCGACCCCCTGAATGTTTACATCACAAGCTGCCACATCCTTGTCTCTCCTTCTTCCCCAACT